CAGAGCAAAAGTAAAAGTTTTTATTCAGTAAGAAAAGAGAGTGTGGTGAGTTGTTTCTGTGGTGAATCTTTGATATTTCACCTCTGCTGTATGAGTATGAGTCTTGATAGGTATTAGCAGTATGTTTTTTGTTTTTTTCTTCTTTTATGGTTTGCCCAACTTATTTAACTAAACACACAAACATGATGCCATTTTTCAGTTCTACTAATGTTTTCCTAAAGTCACCAAAATATCAACCCTGTCAAGACTCACCTTAGCTCTGTTTTTGTGGAGTTATTTAAACTGCAAAACTCTTCATTGCTTTACCCTTTGTACCTGAACAGGAAGAATATTAAAGAGGTAAAAAATAATAAGCTAAATAAAACGTCAAAGTAAATTGTCGGCACAAATGCAAAATTTTATAGTCCTGCTATAAAACTGCTGCTCCACGCACACCTTTGCAATGGTCTTCTCATTTTGATAGCATGACAGGATATAGGACAGTATGACTGCATCTATTTAAAGCGAGTGAACAGTGCTGAGGCCCAATTATATGTAACTGACTGAGCAGTGGCTTTTGAGATGGGCATTTGCCCTGGGCGGTGCTGGAACGGGGCGGCATGCATGCCAAGAGAAGAAAGAGATTTTTTAACTACTCTGTTCTGCTATAAACAAACTTTGTTTTCCATTTCTCACCTGAGCTGTCATTAAGAAATGGGCTAAGCTAATTGTGCTAACCCAGTTAGCACAGAACAAAACACCTCAAGTCAGTGTGATCTCAACTTGTCAGAATAGTTGTTTTCTTTATTTCAACAACTGTTTTGAAAAATAACTTCATCTTTGCAACATTCCTACAGAAATGTACATTTACATTTTAATGAATTTACACAACAGTTTTATTTTGAAGCTTCCTGCCTCAAGGAACACACATTATGTCCAGATGATGACATCTGACCACCTATTTCATCCACCCGTTCCTTTAAATTGAGAAGTTTAATCCTTGACAAAAAATATTTTGTCGTAATTTTTATGTTGTAAAACTAAACCAAAGAAAATACTCTAACATGCAACCCAAATAAAATGGAGCAAGGAAACTTAAAGTTTCGGCCTATAGCTGAATGACTCCACTCAGCAGTTGTTAAATTGAAAGACCGAAGACAAAGCTTCTGTGCGTATGTGTGTGTGCGTGTGTGTGTGTGTGTGTTGGATGACATATGGATACGGTACTCTCTGCGGACAGTTCATTTAGATTCTCTGTTCATCATGCAGAATCTCCCCTTAATTCAATTAGCACTAATGGTCCCTGGTGAGCTGGTGGGAGCTCTGCCACAGGGTCACATATACACACACCAAGCACCCAACTATGCCTCTGTGGCTCTTCTTCACACACAATATCCTTCTGTTGGAAATAAGCTGTGCATTATTCATGGTTACTGCACAGCTGGATATCATTTCTAAATATTTCATGTAGATTTCTCTGGCGTTCACTTCTTCCTCATGAAGCCATTTCTAATCACCTTTTACACATTTTTTTTTATCTACTCCACATATGGACATTATTGCGTGTGGGTGTGTTTCGCATTGGTAGTCTTCCCCAGCTCTCCTGCACGCATTAATAAGAACGGTGTCACAGACATTAGACTTCCCCTTGGAAGCCAACAGACACTTTTATGGTGCCATTGCCTTCTATAAATACACCCTTCATGGGGATGAATGTGTGTCTGTGTGTGGCACTATAAATTCAGGCCTAATGAAATGGAAGAGGCTTACTGGAAAAAAAGAAGGGGGGGAAAAAAGGCTCGTCTCCCAAGGACGATGAGGCTGCATTAGTGAGCAGATCCAGCGGGAGAAGAGGAAGCGGGGAGGGAGACGGATGAAAAAGCGGGAGGTGGAGCAAGGCCTGTGAATCTGAGTTTGGGAAAACAAGGTGACAAAACCACACAACTCAAAACTTTGGGGGTTTTGACTGCAATTGGAAAGTTAGAGAAACTTCAAATGTGGCAATAGCTGTTGGTGTTTATTGGCTCAGGGCAACGCAAGTGGCGCTCTTCTTTTAAGCGCTTTTTGTGCAATATTAGAAATTCACCAAAATATGCAAACTATTCAATTTCTTTTTTAAATAAAAAAACTTAAACATTTAATTGCCTAAAATAACACAACATTTCTTTAAAATGCCAGTGTGTGACGCTATGGAGGAGCCCAGCAGTGGACAAATAGCGGGAAGGAGGAGACGAGAGGGTTGTCCCGTCAGACCGTCAGTTCACGAAACCACCCAAAAAAAAACCTTATAAAAACACACAGGCACACAGCAAAAAGCTTGTTGGGGTCTAATGGATCCCATCTCTTAAGACTGTGGGAGGGTTAGTGTACAAAATATGTAGAAAATGTATATTTTTTTCCACAGTTTTGGCTTAATTACCACTCTCAGGGTGTTGTTCTTTCAGCAGTTGACCTTTTTTTGGGTCTGTGTACGCCAGTTAACAATTGTTTGAATAATTGATTCATTACAATTAATCCAATTAATCATTTCAGCCCTTATCGCAAACTGGCTCTTTCATGCCTTTACTGCGCTTTACTCATGCTAATACATCAGCATCGGTGATCATACCACCTACATCTCTGATGGCTCCACATCCTGACCCTGGCTTGGGATTCCTCTCTTGGATCAGATCAGCTGCAACAGCTGCACGCTGTTGTCTACTTCTGCATGACTTCATCTGGCTGTCGGCTGCCTGGGAGGATGTAGCTGAAAAGGATTCTTTAGCACAATGATCTCTGGGGATTTCCAGGCAGGTGAAAAGCCAAGACATTACTGAGACTCAAAGACTCAACTTGCTTTTCTTCTTTTTTAATGAGCTGATTATTGACTATGAAAATAACCATAAACGGAGTTCTCCAGCTTTTTCCTCTTTATCATTAAGCTCCACACATTAAGTGTTGTGGGATTTCCTGTTGCTTGAAAAACCCAAAGTTGATGATATTCGTCCAGCATGGCAGTTTTAGGAAAGATGCCAGATTCTTTTTTTTTTTTTTTTGGTGTTTGACAAGTCTGGATTGGTTGCCTCCATTGCCTGGTGAGAGCTTGTTGCTCAAAGCTACAGCAGCGAGAGGAATGCAACAGAGATGGCAACCTACTCACCTACTGCCTGCACCTAGTGAGTGTGATGAGGCGCAGCTGGCTGTTTGTTTTTCAAACTATCGACACCCAAACCTCATTGGTGTTTTCTGCCTCCGTTCTCCAAGATGCTACATGGTCCCACCCTGATAATAAACCACTTGTACCTCACTGCGTTGTTTTCAGGAATTGTTAAAACAGTCGGGCAATTCTGACTCGATGCCAAGATGTATGAAACCAGTGCCAAAAACCCTTTAAGGACCACTCGCATTCTGGCTGCTTCCTGACATCGCGCCCCTAATCCTGTGTAAATGGGACCTAAATGGAAGATGCACATGTTTAAGTTTTAATGAAAAAAAACTACATTTTTGTCAAGTATTTTTTGTCTAGTTTCTAGTACAAATACTTTTGTACACTTGAAATGAAACGAATATGACAAGTAACTTTTCAGCTAGATGCAGGAGCTCGTTTTAAATTAATTTTTTAATATTGATGTAGAACTACTAGTTGGGAGTGAATCTGCTAGTGGAACAAGACATTTTTTTTCCATATTATCAGTTAAAATATGAGAAAGATGTCTTGTTCCTTTGGCAGATTATTTACCTTACTAAGATATTTTCCCTAGAAACCAGACCAAAAATACTTAGTGAGATTTTGTTTTCTGCAGTGTATGGTTTTAAACTACTACACATCTTAACTTTTTATTGTATAATTATTTATCCTGTAAAGTCCCAAATTCCTCCCACGTTAAGGTAGATTATCTTTTAATAATCAGAGTAAATATTTTATGACTGCCATCAAGTTTAGGTAATGCTCCCTACCTGGATGGGAAAATGCTGTAAAACGTTGTCATGCAAAAACTCATTTAAAGCCCAGCGATGTCACAGAGTGGCATACCATTTCATTAAAAATAATACATCACAAACATCAGCCTCTAAGAAAAGAGAAAGCATGTCTGGCACACTCACAAAGTAGTTTGTTGAAAATGAAAAGAAGGGATGACAGAGTTAAAGTGAAACAAGATGAAAGTGATGTTCATGGCCTCCCTCCAGGTTCAGCAGCCTCTTGGACTGGATTCAGTGATTTCATTAACGGAGATGGAGCCTTGTCAGTGATGGAACAAGTTTGGTTTTCTTTTTTTATTCCCCTCCTCCCCGAAGTTAAGAACCTTGAAAGTTTGGTTGCAAACAAACAGCTGGCAGAAAAAGAGAAATTTTATGTGCACTTTTAGACGGGATGGGCGGCTTCTAATTTAGATTGCAGCTGCCAAGCACATTAAAATAGAAGAACTATAAAATCACAAGGCAAATAATAGCAGGTAAAGTAGAACACACACACACACATACAAACACACACATCAGTTTTGTATTTGAAGCAGGATTTACATGCAAGATTAGTTGATGGTGAGAAAAATGCCTGCATGTATTACACATGCTGCTTGCATTTGTATTGTCCTCTGTGATTTATTATTTTTTCTACTATTTAAGAGACTATTTTAGATTTTCACATATTAAAGGAGACTTTTTATGCAAATTTACCCTTTTCTTCTACTGCTTCCCAAAAGTGCTTAAACAGTCCATCCGTTTTTCTGGCAATAACTACATTTCATTTTTGGGCGAAAACTGAAATTTTATGAGCCGTTTCAAAAACCTCCTGATTATTAAGTCTTTAAAATCAAAGAAATGGCTTTACTCGAGGTGCGTTTAGGACATGACCACGCGTAAACTTTTGCCACAGTGAAGTACGACAAACCCCTTTACTGTTCACAGAACTGGTAAACCGTGAAAGCCCGAGTTGCCGAGATAATGCATGCTAACGCAGCGGTGATGTTATTGTGATAGTTTCTTTGTGCTTTCTCATCGCCCTGCAGTCCCATGTGCTGAGATGATTTCCCTCCCCTGCACTGCAACTTATAGACAAATACGGACAGACAAGGAGACGCGAAGAAACAGATTGAGAAAATAACCGATTAGGCAGGAGCGAGAGCAAGATAGAAACGTCCTCCCACCGCCGTTCTGTCACTCATCCGCCTTAGGAAAAAAAAAAAAAATCCCAAGCCCATCTGCTGGGCTGCTAAGGCGCCGCCAAAGCCCATGCATCCTCACCTAAAATGACAACTGCAGCCAGGAGCTCCTCGTCTTCACAGGCGTCAGCTCTAGTAGCCACAGGCGACACTGAAACGTGACAATTAATAACTTGATGGAATCTGGTTTGCGAGATGCGTCTGAAATACCATCTGTGGGGAAACCTCGCCGTTTCTTTATGCTCGACTTCAAACTCAAACTTGGCCCCGAAACGAAATGAGGTGTCAAATGCCCACAGCATCCTGCGTCTGAAAAGCTCTCGTAGACTCCCGCAAAAACATCAGCCATAAGCGTGTATTTAGAGATGGAAAACCAAGAAATAGTGCAGAGTTTTATTTTTAACCACTGAAGCCGAAGCATCCAGGACCTCCTCGGTGTGTACGCGGGCGTTTGTGTGTCCTGCAGGATTGCTGTAGGAGTGTTTTGGTGTTTGCTACTTCCCTGACCCCAATCCTTCGTCTGTGGCCCCATGGTTAAATTATAAACCCTTCACTGAAATGTGCTTGTTGCATAAGTTGTGAAGCTGAAGGCGAAGCTAAACGTCGGAGCTCCATCAGAGGAGATGCAACACTTTCCTGTCACTTGTTCCCTCTCTTTGGCACGCGGGCGCTGAAGCAGGCCGGGATTTGTAGCCGAGACGAGCCAGCTCAAAGTAAGAGCTGATCTATGAAAAAAAACACAAGGCAGTAAATACAGATGTGCGCAAGATTTTAAATGTATAGTCTTACCATTATCAGACCACTGATGGACTTTTGTCTGCAGTCAGATGTCACAGCAGCTTCTGTCCCTCCTGTTCCAGTTAGTCTCCCTTCGTGGCTGTAATGAGTTGAAGTTAGCTTGTAACCGTTAGCTCCTTCAGATGCAAGTCACATTATTTTAGTGATCAATTTTTTATTTGATTTTTTTAGTCTACTTTTGTACAATACTAGAATTACATTAAAATATTCCTTTAAAAAAAAAAAAAGATAAAGAAAATAAACATTTCATTGCCTTACATGCAACAGCAACATTCCTTCAGTGTACGCTTAGTCATCTGCAGCCAAAGAAAAAAAGTGAAAAAGTTTTGCTTCACTTGGCATCATTAAGTGATGCCAAGGTGATTGTTTTTGGATTGATTGTGAAGCAAATTGACTATTGCGTTGTTATTGCTAAGATTTTTCTTTATCTGAAGTGAAAAACGTTTACATTTTTTGTACATTTTTGGCTTAATTACTTCTCTGAATGTGGTGTTCTTTCAGCAAATAGCCTCTTTTTTTAAATCTGTATACTCCAGTTTATTAAATGATTTGACTATTATCTCCACAATCGATTTATTGTGATCGATAAAATCAAATGCTTAATTAGGTTGTATTTACCCAGAATACCCAGCGCTATTGTCCGCTTCCTGCTTTTGGAGCGGTCTCTGGTTCACCTGCTACTCACACGTGCATTGGAACCGCTTCAGAATTCACTTCGACCCAACCGAGACCCAGGATTGCGCGTTCACACCTCCCTAAGCGAACCAGACTTTCTAGATGAACAAACCAGAGCTAAATAGAGCTGGTGTGAATGCGCCGTTACGTTCAAGCTGACCGAGAACCATAAATAATACCTTAGGCTTAGGTGAAAGGGTGTCAACTGCGTAATAATCCCATTAATTAATAAGTCCATTATAACATCTTTAGATGTATTATCTAATCAGTGCTCTAATTTTCCTTTTAATGTGGTGATGTTATGTATCACTGTGGACACTGAGCAGCTCGGCTGCTCGTGGTGTAACCCAGCATCCCGTCTCACTCTGTGTTTCTGTGCAGGTGTGTGTGTGTGTATTAGTCGTGTCGTACTTTGTGCTGTTTTCCTGGGAGTCAGCAGTTTGCCTGTGTGTCATCAGGGCGCTGCACAAACTTATGATCTCGCAACTAAGGCTCTTTTTTTTCTTTTCCCCCGTCGTGTTTGCGGTTACTCACAGCCGCATGTTCAGCTGCGCAGAAACGCTTCGTTACAATACTTTTCACCACAGCCACGGTTTTTTTTTCTTCGTCTTTATGCATCTTCTGTGTTTTGTTTGGTTTCTCACGTCGTGGCTCTCTTCTTCTACACCTAATTTGTCTGATTAAGTCACGCCAAGTTTCCACCCTTGTCCTTAGAGACTTTTTTTTCTCCTCACTTCTGTGTTGTTTTCCTCAGTTTGTCTGTTTTATCTCTCTCTTCTCTTACCTTTCTCATGATCTTGTTTGGGTTCCCCCCCCCCCGATTTCTGTTTGTCCTCCAACTCTCCTCTGCACAGCTACTGTTCTTTTTCTTAAACTTTCATGCGTCTTTCTGGCATGTGACTGCTACCCCCTGCAGTTTCAACCGAGCACTGCAGGCAGTAAATAATCAACAAGCATTTGCACCCCAGAATATCATCAGCCCAATTTTAACCACCTTTATGAAGATAGAGCAACTTCAGAAATGCATGCTTTTGTGAGGTGACGCTCGTTAAAGTAAAGTTTTGGACCTCATTAACTAAAACAAAGATGTGCAATTGAAGTAGGACATACAATGGATTTGAAAATCATATGCAGCTTTTCCTGTATGTCTTGGATTGATGTGTAAATTTTGAATGGAAAAATTCAGCACTTTATAAAATATCAGTGCAAATGTCATAATTCTGCAGAATGCTTCTCTACCTCCAAGTCTGATCTCTTTTTTTTTATTAAATAAGTACAGTCTTTACGTGTTGCCCGGTCACATTGTGGGTTTGCTGTTCTTGGATTTTAGGTGAAGACTGTTTTCAACATGACGGCCAAGGAGGGCAGGAAGAGGTCCATCAGCTGTTTGGTTGCTGTAGGAAATGGCAACGGAGTGGCAGGTTTGATGCTTTTTTTTTTTTCTTAAATAAATAAAAACTAAAACAAGTCGGGCAGCTTGACTCCGAATGTTGTTTAGGAGTCGACAGAATTTTCAAAGCGGACACATCAGAACAGATTCCTTGCAAATCCTGACTTATTCTTTATTCTCAAACTTATTTCTTTTTTAATGCTGAAAAAAAGTCTTTTAGGGAAGATTTGTAACCTGCCTCTCCTTTCTGTGTCGTTAGGCTTCGCTTTGGGTAAAGCAGCAGACAGAACTGCAGCTCTGAGGAAGGTAAGAACTCCAAGGACGTCAGATTTTCTTTTTGGGTTTGAATTATTTCAATAATACCGTTATGAAACAAAACATAAACCACGTTACCTGATGTTTATTGAAATCTTTATTTAGATAATGACCAAGTAATCAGATATTCAAAATGTGTATCTTAATATTTGTCTACCTGCAGGCCAAGAACCGAGCCAAACGCCATTTGTACCACATTGAGCGATACAACAACCTCACCAGTAAGTTCCTCAACTCAGTAGAGCTCAACCAGTGAGTACTGGTTCATATCCAGTTTACTGCCGACTTTTTGTCCCATTTGTGCCCAAGTGACATAATATGGAACAGATCTGACTGCTCACTTATTCAAGTACCTTTTCAAAGGGTGATTATGAAAAAATGCTTTTCTAATTTATTGGAATTATGACCCGAGTGTGACCCTGAATTAGGTCCGTAAAGCGGCAGAGTAGAGGGCAGCTACCGCTTCAGATAGTAAGATCCATAGACCAGCTAAAAACGTCAAAAACAATAATATCGTATATCATATCATAAGTACAAAAATCTAAATCACCTTTAAGGAGCAGTCAGAATTTCACATTTCAAGCAAATCCAACTTTTCCAAACTTAATTTCCATGTTCTTCAGTGATAACGTGTTTCCTATAGTCATTTTAGAAGCAGAAATTCAACGCGTTATCATTTTTTACGCAACTATTCAACGTTTTGCTTGCTTAGCTAAAAAAGTCGGAACCTTTATATTTTATTTCTAGTACGCCCATAAATCTGACGCACAAGTGACATCCACAAACAGCAGCGACGGATGGTAATGCCGCTTCTCTTGCCACTTAGCCACAAAGCAGATTCTTCTTAATTCAAAATGTTGCTTATTTTGTCGACATATAGTTTCTGATTAAAAAGCGATTGAGTAATTACAGGCCCTTCGATTAACTTGATTAAAAATGTTAATTTAATCAAAATCAAATGCAAGCATTTGAATACTAGTTTGAATACGGTGGTGGATACTCCGAATGGCTAAACAGTCTATGCATCTTACCTCTTCTCCTTCCACAGCCCAGGTTTCATTCCTGTTCCCTCTTTCAGAATCTCTTCGACTTTGCTTTCTCCCTTTCCCTCTGCTGCCCCCTTGAATCACCCACTCATAGTCTCACAAGTGACATAATCTGAAAAAATGGCTTTGTAAGGCAATGAACGAGAATCAGAACGCATTACTTGGACTTTCTTAGTGGAAAGCTCCAGTTGGCTTCTATCTGGAGCAGCATCAGAAAGATTAATGCGAGTGAGTCATCAGCCTCCGCCGCGCCCACCAGAGGAGAAAGTTAGCTTCCCAATTTGCCCCCAAACCAGGCGGGGTATCTGTGTGTCGGTGTGTGTGTGTGTGGATCTGTACACTGCTTGACTTCAAGAACAGCGGTACATTTAATTTTCTCAGGTTCCGCTCTCTCTGTGCTGCCATCTGCAACCTGTCTATGCGATTGCTTTCTTTTTTCCTCTGTCTCAATGTCACCACTGCCCGCCATCTTGGATTGCTTGAGTTTCTTCTTCTGCAGCTCTGCAACCGAGGTTTCTCTCTGGGGAAACAATTTATTTTTTTGGTTTGTTTTGTGCTGGCAGTCAATAAAAACGAGTCGTTTCAAATTAGAATGAGTAGCATATTATTTATTATTAGGGTTAATATTAGTTTTACTGGGTGTTTTTTTAAATTTTATTTTATCTGACGCAGATCCTCATTGTAACACGTAATCTAAATTATTTAATGAATTAAAAGTTTTTAGCAAGTTTTCTGTCATTTTGTTTTAAAAGTACACTTCTCGTCATTCATAGGTCACATACAATTGAAGAAAATGTCCTCTTTAAGCAAATTACATGGTGTCCTGTATTTGAAAGCATAAATGTATTTCTTTCTGTAATACAAATTTCCTCTGGAAGATGTCTATATAAAGTTATAAGTTGTCAAAGATTTTGTTACATTGGTGTCTGTAGATGTTTTTAATTTGGCTGGACTGATGGCAAAAATGGCCCTTAGAATGATAGTTAGTGAGATGGTTTGGGATTTGTCGTCAATTTTTATTTATTTTTTTCCATTTCCTTGTTGGCAAAAGTTCCTCCAAAAACAGAATTCTTTGAATCATTGCTTTCTGTATAAAGTTAAGTTCTGTGTAAAGCAAAGTCACTTTCGTACTTTGCTTGAAGAAATCCACCGGATTTATTGGTACCTTTTATCCATTCGGTCTTCCAGCATCTGAAAGATAAATTAGTTATTTTCTCTGGGAAAAAAAAAAATCTGTTTTGATTTTCTCACTTTGTCAGATGAAGCCGGACCCCCTGCAGCTACAGCAAATGCTCGTTTCCCTGCGGTGGATGAGTCACCTAAGTGAATGTGAAGTTTATATTAAGTTAAATCAACTTTTCGATTCCTCACTTACCTTGACTTGTCAAACGAGCACTAAAATATATATATATATATCTTTAGAAAATTCATTTACTCATATTTCCTTCTCTGTTCTCATTAATGCCTGTCTGCACTGCAGCAGCATCCGCGTTTAATATCGAGTTCTTTGATTCACTGGATGTCAGCAAGTGCAGGATTTTCTCCTGAAGCAATGCGTCTAGCAGCACACAGCTCCTCCTGTGGGGAAGAAGAAGTGAGTGTGAATAAGTAATGGGCTGCAGCTGCTGCAGTGAGCAGGAGGGACATCTGGTGGGCACGTAGAGAAGCGCAGCGTCCAAAGGGTTAGGTGGGGGATAAAAACCACGAAGCAAAGCTCGTGGAGCTCGTTAAGATTTCCTGGATTTGTTTATGATTTATTGGTTTGGCTGTTTTGCTTCCATCTGCCTCTGCTCTGCCGTGCGTCTGATGCAACTGTTGTTGTTTTTTTCCTCCTCCGCCGACAGTTTATCACGACATCGACTCCAGGTTCAAGAGGACGACTCTGCGCATGAAGAAGCAAAACGAGGGTTGGTTGCCGTCAGTTTTACCCTAACTAATTCAAGCCAGATGTTCTGCTCTGCACATTTCCATTTAGTCATTGCATATTCTGCTGTGACTGCAGCTGGAGTTTAATTGCGCGCGTTTGCCGGTGTGTGTGTGCGTGTGCAGGTTACGGACTGCGCTGCCACAGGGCCGTCATCACGATGTGCAAGCTGATCGGCATCAAGGACATGTACTGCAAAGTGGAGGGCTCGGTCAACCTCCTCAACATCACGCGGGCGCTCTTCAATGGGCTGGCCAATCAGGTGAGATCATGTTGGGAGGTCAGTAGGAAATGAAAAATTCTCCAGAAATAAAGTCACTAAATTTATGGTTTTAGTTTTTTTTTTTTTCATTTTAAAAATCCTAATTTAGAGTTTAGAATAGAAATTGTCTGTATTCGTTCAGGCCGGTTGAATCGGCCAATGAGAACAGACGCTGGCAGAGCGTCATTGAAGTAAAAAACTGTACCGAGTCAGTTTTTAATGAGAATAATTAACTAATAATTCATTTAAATATTGATTGGTTCCCACATAAAAACCCACATATAGCTTAAAAAGTATTTTGCTGCTTTTAAAACTGTTCGATAATTTAGGGCTGACGCACATTTAACCTTTATACGAGGTGGAAGTCAATCAATCAATCAATGAGAATTTAATGTTAAAATATGGAAAGCAGTTTTTTTTTAGAATTTAGGACTGACATGAGTCAAAAGGTCAGAAAAGTTTGGAAAGCAGGAGCTTTCTTATTTTTACTGGGCTTGAATACTAATTTTCCAAATATTCCTTTTCCAAATATGTTATAATACTCCTTAATAAATACAATGGCTTTAGTTTGTTTGATCTTCCACAGCTTGTGGTAATTTTATCAGCTTTTCTCCTCTTCAAAACGATTAAATATTCCAGCACCACTTTTACAACCACATTTTCCATAGAAACATAAAGTTGTTTCTATGTTTCCAGTCCATTGTCCGTGAAATCTGCCAGATCTCTAAATGATTTTAAGTCACTTAAAAATTCTCATGTCTTAATTGCTGATTTAATCAATTTCATAACCTGATTAATCTCACACAGACATTAAATTACTCCGGCTATGATGCAGGAAATTGGAGGTTTCCTTTTTTGTCAGAGTAAAGCTTTATCTCACTGTTTTCATCGATTCAGACCTTCGTAACTCCTGTGCTTTTATTAATAATTCAAGAGATAAAACTCTTCTCATCTCCTCGTCATTATTATGTCGCTAAATCTTGTTAACGTCTTTGTCCACCCTTCAGGTAACCCACCAGAACCTGGCCAACAAGAAGCAGCTCCACGTCGTGGAGTTCCAGGCCCAGCGGGGCCCGCTGCCCATGGTGGTGGCCAGCCCGAAAGACGGAGCGCGTCTCCAGCCGGAGCCGGAGGACGAGGTCCCCAACACCAAGCTGCACTGGGACGACGTGCGAGACGCGCAGGGAACCAGACGTTCCGTCTGGGCCAGGGTGAAGCGCACCGTGTGGTAGAGCGGACCACAGGGTTGTTTATTAAAGCTCTCCGTAAGGAGGAATGGCAGGGAACCGAAAGGACTTGTGGAGCTTGTTCTGACAGAAACTTTAGAAAGCATCGCGAATGTGAAATTATCGTGGATTCTCCATTTAAATGTCAATTCAATGAACTTCTGAAAGTTTGTTTGGCAGCAAAACTCTAAATCATCATAAAAAAATCGTCCATGTTTGTGATGTTACAAAACAGATTGACAGAAAAATAAAGTTTCTGTTCTGAGTCTCAATTAGATTTTTTTTTCTTTTTTTATACTTTTTACATAAAAAAAAAGCAACAGGAAGGAAGTGAAACTTGGTGAGAAAATTCTCCGGGTGAAGTTCTGTCTGACAATCTGCACTGCGCACCTACTTGGAAATCCAGTGACCTGACAGACGGCACCGCAGGAGCCCGCTCATCATTTCTCGGCATGTAGCAGCAACTACACATAGCGAAAAGTAATGAGCTGCTGCTGAATTTTCAAAATGTAAAAACCTCCAACATAGGTTTGAATTTTCTTGTTTGTTTTATTGTTGTAGTTTTTTTTTTTTTTTTTTGCGTTAGATAAAGCAGAAGCTCAAACCGACAGAAATAAACCAGAAATCAAGAGTTAATTTAATTGAAATGAAACGTTTAAATTAATTTCACACTCACAAGCCTTAACGCTGTCAATCATCTTATGTACACGCTGCTAAATATGGGACATTCAGCATCTGTGGTCATGCTAACTAGCCTTTATTGTGGGGAGTTAGATGTAGCACAGCAGAGACGAAGGAGGGAAGGTGATAAACGGCGCTTATACTCTCTTGACTGACTGGTCAAATGATTTACATTTGCAATGGTTGTAACAAATACATACAAAAAAACCCCCAAAACATTTTATAAAAGTTATTTTCTTCAGCTTCAGCTAAAAAGAGCAAAAGAGAAAATACCAAAATGCCAACTCATGAAAATGTCTTATTTCATCACCTTTGACATTAGTTTAAATATTAAAGGTTATTTGTTACATACGCCACAGGCTCATTCTCTGCTCCTTAATCTTGCCGTCTCTACATAATAACACACCCACAGAATTAAACAAGTGCTCCAGGTGAGGCTCGAACTCACAACCTCGGCATTGCTCAAGGTGTACTGTCTTATAAGTACCGCGCGCTAACCGATTGCGCCACTGGAGCTCGCGAGATACTGAAGGAACATCTGTCGAGCAGAACTGTTCAAGTCCATTTCGGTTTATTTTTTTCTTGAAATAATAATAATAATTATTATTTTTTTTATTGGTGCTGTAGTTCAAGTATGGTGTAATTTTTGGGGCCGCCATAACCGAGCGAGTTTTTGAAGATGCCGAATTTTAGTTGAAGAATCCAGGAGGAAAAAAGACGCCGATGTGGGTGTGGTGGCTCCAGGGAGGCGCTAGGGGGTGCTAAAACTCCCCCTGGATCACACGAAGCACCCGAGAGAAATATTTCATTTCTTTTTTTGGATATTTTATAAGATTAAAATATGTTATAGATTAACAACAACAACAAAAAAAGACACTCAGAAAAACGCAACATTTTTTAATATTAAAATGTTTTCAAAATATTGACTTAAAAATGTAATAGTGGGTAGTGGGTACCATAATAGGATGAATTGCCACTTTTTTGTGTCACTTGGTCACAAAGAAGGGTATGTATTTACATCTGTTTGGCAGGAGTGTTTGCTTCTAGAATCTGCAAGAACATTTTTTTTGAAAAAATGCTACAAAAAAAAAAGTTTTATCAGCTGTAACCTACTGATCCTCCCAGGCCGGCGGCATCCGAACTCTTTCAGCTTTGTCGTACAAACAAACAACCACTTCCAAATCCAGTTTATTAAATGTTTCATGTTTATACACAGTAAGTGTCGACATCATTGGTTCTCACTGATACTGATCTATTTTGAATTTCAACTATTTTTTTTAACTCTGTTTTTTTTCTTTAACCCTCATTGTTTAGGGTACTGGTGCAGGAACAGTGATGTCACAGTGAACAATGAACATGACATCACTCATGACATAGTGATGTCATAGTCAAGGATTTTGACTCTGTCACAGACTCGCTCGAAGTCATTGCGTTCCGAGAGTTCCAAGGTGAGAGTACTTTCTGAGATTATACGTTTGTAGTCGTGAAACGATTGACGTGAAGCAAGAAGAAAATGAGCCAATCAACTCAAGAATCGGAGACCAAGAATAGGTCAGATCAGATGACTGACAAGGATCCCCGATCTTTTAAGAAACAGCAAGAGGACAACCGAGGAGAGAATGTTCCGTCCAAGGAAAAAGTGCAACGTAATGACAAAGATTTACGGGCACAACAAGACAGCGTATCTCAGCTGAAGAAGGAGGTGAAACTGCAAGAGGCTAAATGTTTCAAACTTTCAAACAAAAATAAAGCGCTTGAGACCAAACTTCAGGAGAGTGAAAATAGAATTCAGGAGCTGGAAGGTCAGTTAAAAGCCATGGATCGAAGTCTTGGGGACAAGACAAATGCCCTAATGGCTGAAACCGCGCGGCGGCGCGACCTGTCTGACAAGTGACAACACTGAAGGTGTACAAAGATCGAGCGTTGGATGCAGAGAAACAATTGAAAGAGCTTTCGGAGGAAAGCCATAGACTAAAATACAACTAGACACGTCTCTGCAAAAAACAACCTCATCTAAAAATGAATCAGAGGCCCTGAGAGCTGAGCTTAAAAAGCAGACGGATTTTGTGAGAAATAGGGATAACACGATTACTGCTCTTAAGATCACATTGGATGTAAAGGAAAAGCAAATAGATGTTCAGAATGAGGAGCTTAAGAGACAACGCAGGCTTGCACAAGAGATAGAACTGGAGGCGAAAAGAAATCGCCAGAATGAAGAAGCATCAATGAAGCGACTAAAGCACAAAGATGATGAAAATTTGAGCCTACGAAAGGAAATCACATCACTAAACAAGGCTGTGTTTGAGTTTGAGAGGAAGTTGGCAAAAAAGATTTGAGATACCACATCCTCCAGGACAAATATCAAAAAAGTATGGCAGAAAATGCATTTCTGCTGAAAACTAACCAAGCACTGGAAACTACTAGAGCAAATCTTGATAGAGAAATTGCTGAAACCCAGACACTCCTCCAAAAGTCCCAGCAAGTGAATATGCTTCTTAAGAATCGAATGGAGAAGGTCAAGATAAAGCTGACTGATTCGATTAAGCGCGGCAAGGAAAATAAGATCAAATTTGATAAAGACCTGCTGCGTAGAAAGGTGGATTATATGAAAATGAGGAGGCAGAGAGAAGATGCTCTGACAAAAAACAGAAGAGCCACAGAAGCACTACACTGTAATGAACGTAAAATTGGATTACAGACTGATATAATTCGCGAACAGGAATGTAGGATTACAGAACTATGCAAGGAAGTTCTGAGACTCCATGGGAATGCGCAGAAATTTAAAATGGTTCAAGAAACCTATTCTAAGGTGGAAAAGTTAGGGCTTGATGATGAAACAGGAGATCTTATAATTCTCCCAGAGGACAACGACGACTGGAAAAAGAAAAAACTCAGACTGCTTCGCTCTGAGAACCAGAGATTGTCCGAACTCCTGGAAAGGAGAGAGGCAGAAATTAGGTATCTCAAGCGTGAGCAGAAGAAACTGAAGAGTATGGTGCACAATCTCAGGTTTCAGCTTGACCAGCTGCCGGAAAATACATTGGATACAGTGCAGGAGAGTCAGAAAAACGTTAGAGAACTCAAAAGACAGATACAAGCCCAAGAAGCAGAGATAAGTGTGTGTGTATCAAAAATAAAAATGCAAGAAATGAACAACAAAAAGTTGAGAAATAAGCTGACAGAAATCACATTTATAAAGAAAGATATACTTCCGCCGATTCCGTCAAACAACATCAAACTGAAATCTGAGGACACAGACGTAAAGACTACGATAAAACCCCGAAACATCGTTTATCTACCGCCGCTTCAAATCAGTTCATATGGAAAGGGAAAAAAGTAAGAGGAGGTGGTTATTTATGCTTGACTGAAGGAATGATAATATTTGAGAAGGATGTAGGTAGAGCCTGGATGCAGAAAACAATTGAAAGAGCTTTCGGAGGAAAGCCATAGGAAAGCCAAAATACAAGGGGAGGGTCCTGCAGCTGATAAATGCCGGCTGGCGAAGCAGCATGCAGGATATTATAGGGTTGTGCTCGAGTGATTGCTGAGTGATTGCTGAGGGAAAAACTCGGGCATGGGAGGAGTATGGACTAGCCATGGAGAAAGACTTCCAAGACGAGGTCTCGCAAGTCCATCAGTTATGCTTGACTGATGGAATAATAGTATTTGAGTAGGATTTAGGCAGAGCCTGGATGCAGAGAAACAATTGAAAGAGCTTTCGGAGGAAAGCCATAGACTGAAAATACAAGGGGAGGGTCCTGCAGCTGATGAATGCCGGCTGGCGAAGCAGCATGCAGGATATTATAAGGTTGAGCTCGAGTGATTGCTGAGTGATTGCTGAGGGAAAAACTCGGGCATGGGAGGAGTATGGACTAGCCATGGAGAAAGACTTCCAAGACGAGGTCTCGCAAGTCCATCAGTTATGCTGGACTGATGGAATAATAGTATTTGAGAAGGATTTAGGCAGAGCCTGGATGCAGAGAAACAATTGAAAGAGCTTTCGGAGGAAAGCCATAAACTGAAAATACAAGGGGAGGGTCCTGTAGCTGATGAATGCCGGCTGGCGAAGCAGCATGCAGGATATTATAGGGTTGTGCTCGAGTGATTGCTGAGGGAAAAACTCGGGCATGGGAGGAGTATGGACTAGCCATGGAGAAAGACTTCCACATGGCTTCAAGGTAATTCTGGTCCACCATCCGGCATCTCGGGATGGGGATGCAGTGCAGCACAAACACTGTCTTATAGTGGGGATAGTGTGCTGCCGACCTCAACTCAGGATGTTGTGGGACAGTGGCCAGAGTACTTCAAAGTAAATAGAGAAAAATAAAGTTTAATCAAATGAACCAAGTCTTTCACTGTATAAGCTCTTTAAAGTAAATTATAAAACTTGTCAAACATCAATATTACAAACCTATGGAAATACACAATATTACTTGGTGTGTTGTGATTTTGATTTTCATTTGAATTTAAAAAAATATTAAAAGTTCATAAAGTGACTGCAGCAAGAGTTTTTTTTCATATTGTAATACATTTATTTAAGGCAAAACAAAACATCTGACTTTATTTAGTCCATCAGAGCCTCTAGGTCAGGGGTGTCAAACTCAAATACACAGTGGGCCAAAACTTTAAATTGAACAAAGTCGGGTCAAGGTTGAACAAATGAATCTTTTAATATGGACCCAAAAAAGTTCTAAAATAACAATAAATATTGAACAAGCAAAGCTTATCTAACTTAAAAGTGCAGGTGTGCAAAATTGAGTTGCTAATAATAATAAAACATATTATATTAAATAAAATATATTTTATATGCAATAAAATATTAAATATATTAAATAAACACTTAATGCCTCCTTTCTGACGTAAATGTCTAATATTAATTTGAAATTGCCTCGCGGGCCAAATATAATTACACTGCGGGCCAAATTTGGCCCGCGGGCCAGAGTTTGACACCTATGCTCTAGGTTCTCAGTTGCCGAGTGACGCTGCAAGTTAGCTGAGAAATTACCGCAGCTGCTGCGCTATGTACCGTAATATGGATAATATTCCCCAAATTGGACAAGAACCGAACAAAATCACATATTAACCTGTTATGGAGAGCAACTAATAAATCACGCAAAGCCTCGTGAGGGCCAGAAATAACGTGAATAAATCCAGAAAAATATTATTCCATCAAGCTAGCAAGTACGCTATCAGAGCCACGACGAAATATTCCGCAGCAAACTTTTAAAATCAACCACCTTTGTCAACGAACATTACATTTAACAACTGCAAACAGTTATGAATATTTGTACTGAATTTTTTTTTAAAAATACTATATTTTATGGAAAGATCACAACACGTCTTACCTTGACCGAAGCAGACTCGGAAGCAGAAAGTTCCAGAAAGTTCCGGCAGCTCGGGAATACGTGTCAGCCAATCAGAAATTGACATTTACAGCGTGAATGACGTAAGCTCCTGCTGTCCAGTCAGCTTTGCAAAATAACAAATTTAAAGATGCAACACAATAACAATTTTAAACATAGCTGTCAGAATCTGCCTTACGTCACAGGCATAGATACAGGATTTACATGTCAAAATCAGAGACTGACATTTTCCAGCGTGTATGGCATATGCTTCTGCTGACCACCGAGCTTCATAAAAAAATAAAAATAAAATAATATAGTATTTTAAGAGACAGAAACTACAAATGACTTATTTAAACATAGAGAACCTTATGTTTAAAGCTTCTTATATTTAATCTACATTACAGACATAGACACAAGATATAAAGAAGAAATCAGATATTGACATTTTCCAGCATTTGTCATATACTCTTCTTCTAACCTGAGAGAATAAATAGCAAAAATGCTTGTCTTAAGAAAAGGCTAATGTTAATTAAGCATCATTAGCCTTGATTCGTAAGTCAGTGCATTTGTGGGGGTGGAATGAGATGCTAATGTCTGTGCTGATGTCTGTGCTTACCTAATTACCATATTTAAAGTAAAAGGCTGATGCTAATGCTCTGCCTAGCCCTAACCTGAGTGAAAAATATAATGTAAGATAATCTTATTGCACTGGCTATGGAGGGCAGAGAAATGCTATGGAGGGCAGAGAAATGCTAAAATTTGTGCTAATGTTAACCTAAGTGAAAAAGATAATGTAGGATAATCTTCTTGCACTAGTGGAGGGCAGTGAAATGCTCATGTTTGTGCTAATGCTAATGCTCTGCCTTGCTGCACAAGGCAGAGCCCTAACCTGAGTAAAAAAGATCATGCAAGATAATCTTATTGAACTGCCTATGGCAGTGCACGAGTGGAGTGCAGTAAAATGCTAATGTTTGTGCTAAAGTTAATGCACTGTCTTGCTGCGAAAACAGTGCCCTAACCTGAGAGAAAATAATAATGCAGAATAATTTTAGCACTAATGGAGGGCGGAGAAATGCTAAAATGTGTGCTAATGTTAACTTGAGTGAAAAAGATAATGTAGGATAATCTTATTGTACTGCCTATGGCAGTACAATAAGACTAGTGCGGCAGTGCACTAGTGGGGAACAGTGAAATGCTCATGTTTGTGATGTTAATGCTCTGCCTTGCTGCGCAAGGCAGAGCCCAAACCTGAGTGAAGATCATGCAAGCTAATGCAGCGCCTGTGGCACTGCATTAGCCACAGATAAATCTTAAGGCTTTTATTTTGAAATTTTTATTAAGCTTAATTTAAAATTGCCACACTAATCCTGTGTGTAACAATGGTTGCTTAAAATCAGTTATAAAAAGTCCAAACACAATGTAATTCTAAAGGCCAGCTCATTCCTCCTCAGTAGTAACTGACTGTTCCGCCATGTTGTAGTTCTAACCTTCAGCAATTGTAGTTCTAAAGATGAGGTCAACTGTCATGTGTGTGAGACAGATTTCTATCTTTGTGAGATGCCCAGTCAGTTTTAATGGAAAAAGCAGCCCGAACAACTCCTTGCCGTTCGGGAACCGTGAAACGTGTCTGAAAACTGATTGAAGCGTATGAGAGAGCTATTTTTCATCTCAGATAGTCCTGCAAATCAAATCTGTAGCTCATTCACAGTAATTACAGTGATGAGAGAAAAATGGTGTGCGCTGAGGTCTGAAGTTTTCCAGAAAAGTATGAAAATATATGGTGGAGAGCGTCAGTTAGGCTGGAACTTGATTTTGCTCTAAAGCACCTTGACAGAAAACCGTAAGCCCTAGAAAAATTTTGAAAACATTTTACCGGAGCAGACATTCGTATCTATGTCATGACCGAGTTTCATACCGGTAGCACGATATTTGTGGGCGTGACGGCGATTTCAAAATTTATTTGGGGTCAGAAATTCACTTCATTTTTCACTCTAGCGGAGCGGCAGTTGGTGGCAGTTATGCTCTGCGTTTCGGCAGTTGGAAATTTCGCTCGTTTTTCACTTTTTACGTCGCCGTCGTAACGCCGATTCCCCATAAAAGTAATAGCTCCAATGCCTTGAACGAGCCGCACGTTTTGATACCACTTTTGTGGGTGGGCTCGCAGCGGTGCGAGCCGCATTCCGGTCTACGAAAGTGTAGCTGAGGCTGCTCTTAATTTGTAGGACGGTTTGAAGGCACTGTTCAGGTTTGTCACTGCTCTCAACCTGGAGTGTCGGTCAGAACACTACTTACTGGATTCAGTTCAGGACCAGATGTGGGGCAGCAGGTGGAAGAAGGAAGACATGAGGCAGGATCCCTTTTACTTTCTGTATTCCAAGTTGGGTCACAGATCTTAGTCCAACAACAGTAATTAGCATCAAGGTATATTTGGTGGGTGTGGGTGAGTGCTTCAGATATGTGTGTAGCTGTGTGTGTGGTCTCCTAGAATAAACAGAAATACAGAAATAAGTTTCAGGTGTTCTATCATTACACATTACACCTTAGATAAATTAAGGAAATAAATAAAGCCTAAACAAGCTTACCATCAGAATCACTATTCATAAGTGAATTAAAACAAATGAATTAATATCAATGCCTGTGCGCCTGTCAAGTACATCGCTCAGTGCTCTACAACACACATATAGCCGATAGCTGGGACCTAATGGTAAATAACGGTTAACAAATAAACTCCGAATCATTCATTTAACTTCAGCAAACAATCAAATATAATAACTTACTTGTCACTAACGCACACTTATAAGGCGATCACACATATTCTGCCCCTCTCACGTATTAGCAGTGGCTCTGTTACCCCACCTCCCCCTCTATCAGGAATGGTTCTCTTTCTTACGGCGATGTGATGACGTCATCGCCGCCCCCAACTACGGTATGCCCTAAGTGGCAAAAGTAACGCTGAACAGAAGTCACTACGAACAGTAGTAGTTAACAAACTTAGATTATTTAAGGGGTCTTTTGAACAGCCGCCCCCAAATGTGTACAATACATTTGCTCAAACAAAAGACTCTAGGTAGGGTGACCTTGCGCCTGAGGGTCACTGTCCTCCTGAGGTATGGCAGGGAGGATCACCAGCCGGGCCACAGGTCGAGTGTAAGTTCTGTCCTTAGTCTTCACATCTGCTGACCTGATGTGTCCATCAGGACTGGGGTGAACCTTGATGATGCGTCCCATGGGCCAGAGGGCCCTAGGCAGATGAGGATCCACGATCATGGCGACCATCCCTTCTCTGATGTCAACTGCAGAGGTTTGCCATTTCTGGCACGTCTGAAGTCCAGGTAGATATAGACGACCAAACCGGGCCCAAAAATGGTCAGCGAGCACTTGGGCATGCCTCCACTGTCGACGACTTAAAAGTTCATCTTTGGAGTAAACCACCTGCGGCAGCGAACCATCCGGCCGCCCCATAAGCAAGCAGTTTGGTGTCACAGGATCTGGATCTCTTACATCGGATGAGACGTAGCCCAGCGGCTTTGAGTTGAGGATCCCCTCTACTTCTACAAGTACTGTACGGAGGACCTCTTCTGTGATGGGCTGTGCTCCGACTGTAGCATACAGTGCTGACTTCACAGAGCGGATTTCACGTTCCCACACCCCTCCAAAGTGAGGCGCTGCAGGAGGATTGAAGTGGAACTGAATCTTGTGTGGAGCTAGCAGTTGCTGAAGTTCCAATGTCATGTCTGAAAATGCTTCCCTCAATTCAGCATCACCTCCCCTAAAATTGGTGCCCTGGTCTGAATAAAGCTCAGCTGGTGTTCCTCTTCGTGAAATAAACCGACGCAGAGCCATCAGAAAGGAGTCTGTGTTGATGGAGGTCAGTACATCCAGATGTACAGCTCTGACAGTCATACACTTAAATATTATTCCCCATCTCTTTTCCAAATGGCGGCCCACTTTAACTTCAAAGGGACCAAAGCAGTCAGTTCCAGTGGAATAGAAGGCTGGCTTGAAGAGGCGGAGTCGGGCCAAAGGCAGGTCCGCCATTTTAGGGACAGTAGGTCTCGCCCTCCATCTTTGACATTCTACACAGGTTCTTTGAAAGCGCCGAATTGCTTCTCTGCCTTTAAGGATCCAATAATGGCGCCGGAGCTGTGCAAAAACTCGTTCTGGTCCGGGATGCCGCAGTCGATGGTCACAGTCCTGGATGAGCAGCTTGGTCACTGGATGAGAGGGATCAAGTACCAGTGGGTGAAGGTTGCAGAAGGTTAAGTCTTCAGCACGACGTAGACGGCCACCCACTCTTATCAGTTCTCCACTTTCATCCAGCTCTGGAGACAATGTTAGGAGACGACTACTTCGTTGAACTGGTTTCCCTGCTTTCAGAAGGTGAAATTCATCTGGGCAACTCTCCTTTTGAGCTCTCTTGATGAGAAGCATCTCTGCTTTCCGGTAGTCCTCAGCGGTGGGACCACTGCCATTTGCCGCCCCCTGAAGTTCCTGTACGGTTGCATCCAGAAGTTCATGCCAGGTATCATACTGACTCATGTAGGTTGGGGAGGCAGAGGTCATGGCACAAAAGGTTGACCTGCGAAGCTCAGATGCATCTGGGGAGATTTCAGGGTTTTCAGATGGGTCTTTAGGCCATTGATCTTGCGGTAGGTATAGGATGGGAGGACCTTGACTCCATCGGTTTGGTCTTGCTAACTCCTGCAGGGTTTTGCCACGTGTTATGTCATCAGCAGGATTTTGGGCAGATTCCACATAACGCCAGCTCTGCAGATGGGTTAACTCCTGGATCTCAGCAATGCGCGTGCCCACAAAGACTTTGTAGCGGCAGGATTCAGATCGTAGCCAGGTCAGCACAGTGGTAGAGTCTGTCCACATCACTGTCTTCTGAATGTGCAGAGAGAGCTCACCCTCAAGAAGCTTAGAAAGCTGGGCTCCCAGAAGCGCTGCACATAGCTCCAGTCTTGGAATGGAGTGAAGGCGTTTGGGAGCTACTCTGGAGCGAGCCATAACAAAGGACACATATGCTTGATCATTCTCTCCAGTCATTCTAATATGCCACAGCACCATAAGCCTGCTCTGACGCATCACAGAACACATGCAGCTCTCTGCTTGTCACCTCCCAGGCTACATCAGTGGGCAGGTATGGTCTGGGTAGACGGATTTCAGAAAGGAACTGCAGCTCCCGTTCCCAGATATCCCACTGTTGACGGAGGTCAGGTGGCAGCTGGGGGTCATCCCAGCCCCGATCCTTGTCCCACAGACGTCTGACCAACATCCTAGCTCTGGTGGTGTATGGTAGTATAAACCCCAGTGGATCATACTGACTGGCCAGTACTCTGTAGATGATGCGCATGGTAGGAGCCTCATATTGGACTGGACGGTGCTTATAGCCAAGCATGTCTGAAGCAAAGTGCCAGCTAAGGCCCAGGGTTGATTCCGGGATCTCCGTCTTACTCTCTGCAAGCCAGAGCTCAGCACTGTCTGACCGATCTTCTTCTGGTAGGTGACTGATGGCACATGACTCGTTGCTGGCCCATTGCCGAAGGACAAATCCCGCTGATGACAATAGAGCTCTAAGTTGGTCCACCAGTTCTCTGGCCTCTGTGGCTGTTGGCACACTGTGTAGACAGTTATCCACATAAAAACATTTCTCTATGGAAGTTCTCATCTCCTCTCCTGGCTGACTGTGGTCTTTGGCATGGTATTGCAGAGCGAATGTGGCACAACATGGGCTGCAGGTGGTGCCAAACGGTAACACCTGCCACTCGTACACTGCAGGTGGTTCCTCATGTTGTAGGTTACGCCACAGGAAGCGCAGAAGAGGGCGATCTTCGGGTAGTAAGCGGACCTGGTGGAACATGGCCTTAATATCCCCACTCACTGCCACGGCATGCTCACGGAACCTTAAAAGGACCCCGAGCAGAGAGGAATCAAGGGTGGGGCCAGGAAGGAGATAATCATTCAGAGTTTGACCTTTGTGCTGAAATGAACAGATAATTACTAGTCTATGATTTCCATTGTGGCTAACGAGGTGGTGAGGAATATACCACGATTCATCTCCTTTCTTTAGCTCTTTAACTTCCACTCTCAGCACATATCCAGCCTTTATCAGTTTGTCTATCTCTGACTGGTAAATCTCAGCTTTCTTTGGGTCTTTACGAAGCCTCTTCTCAACTCCTCTCAGGCTCGGCATGACAGCCTCAGGTGTGGCCTGTAGGAGAGGCATGTCTTTGCATCGCAGCAGTGGGGTAGCATAGTGGAAAATGCCATCGACTTCCACTCGGGCTGTTTTAGCCTCTAAAAGGTTCAGAGCTTGATTATCTTGCTTGGAGCGGGTCACCACTTTATCACTCCTAAGGGGGATATCTGTTTTCCAGAGCTTCTCCACATGTCTCATTAGCTCATTCACTTGAGGGGGTATGGGGTCTTAACACCTTCCTTCCCTTGGTGTAGGATGCTAGAGGACCTTGTAACGTCCATCCCAACCTGGTGTGGACAGCAGCTGGGCCTCCTGGTGGACCAAGTCGTACAGGTTCTGTAGGAGTAACGAGATGTGGGTGATCGCTGCCTATCAGGAGCAGAGGTTTTATCTTCTTAAAGGGCTGGATGCTTGTATTTCTTCATGAGGGAGTCAACAGGGTAAGTATGATCTGCTAGGTCGATACGTTCAGTGGTGAAGGCATTACGGATGCGGTATTGAATCCTCTGCTTGGTTCTGGGGGATATAATGAAGGATACACAGGATCCATTTAGTGTCTGAACATCTTGTCTGATGGTACGTAGAGGCAAAGACTCTGGTGTGCCCTGGAGTCCCAGTTTTTGAGCTGCTGAAGGCAGGAGCATACTTCTTTCAGAACCATCATCTAAGATTGCATAGGTTTCCAGAGTTTTGGCACCATGACGAAGGAGAACAGGAACAACTTTCAACAAAACTCTGCTACCTTCTGTTGGTCGATCGAGATACAACACTCCTGTTGGGTTCTCACTTGGTATTTGGCTGGGTGATGCTGGCAATGGTCCCTTTACTGGACCTGTGTTAACATCATGAAGAACTTGTAAGTGTCTGCCCCGACACAGGTTACAAGACTTCTTCAGGTTGCACTGTGCAGCATGATGTGCACGTGCACAGCGCCAACATCTTTTGTTGGTCTTTATCCAATCTGCCAGCTGTTCCTTTGTCAGTTGTCTTACTGCTGCACATTGACTTAGATGGTGCTCTTTAACATCACAAAAGGCACAATAAGGGGGTGGCTTGGCTTTTGTTGGTGAACTACTTGGTGGTTTAATGCCTTGAGATAAACTGTCCGCACCATGGAGCACAGCAACTGACCGTTTCCCGAATCTTCCTTCTTCTTTCATGCCGCTTTGTTTCTCCTTTAAACCTCTGGCAGGTAGTTGACCATCATAATCTTGACACCAAGACTCATATTTCAGCCAGTCAGACAAATCAATAAGGTTGTGGTTACGTCCAGACTGCTTAAACATACATCTGCGGAACTCCGCTCGCTGCTCAGGGGGTAACTTACTAAGCAGGCGAACAACATGTGAGCCGCAATAGAGCTCCATCTCTCCCTCAGGGCCAAGTGTCTTTAGCAGGCCCACCAGTGACTGGATTTGGAGAGAAAACTTCTCAAAGGCGACGACATCACCACGTCTGATGTCAGGTGAGTCCATCACAGTGGCAATTCTCCTTAGAGCCAGTTGGTGAGGCTGTCCAAACTTCTCATTTAAGGCCATCATGGTGTCTGTGAATGGGGTTGGAGAGTGAAGGTAGGCTTCCGCTACCAGTTTGGCATCCTCCAACTTTAGATGGTCCACTAAAACTTGATATTTGAAGAGCTCTGGGCTGTCAGGTGGTAGTAAGTTCTCTAGAGCCATCTTCAGGTGTGCAAATTCAACAGGGTCTCTGTGAAATAGGTTAGGGATGGTGGGACGAGGACCATGATAGGCTGTATCTGAGCTGAAACTCTGATAGGGTGGCCTAGGATTTGGAGCAGTTGCTTGGGGAACATGAGGAGTGTGCAGGAGAGGTGCTTGCTGTATTGGTTGCTGAAGGGGAGTAGCTGGAATGCTCGTAGGCATGTAATTGGTGGAGCTAAATCCCAGGTTGAAAGTAGTTGACAGATGTGCTGATGCATGCTGCGGTGAAGTTATGAGTGGAGCCTGACTGCTGGGTTGATAATTATTCCTTCTCTGGTGATGACTTAAGGCCATTTGTGTTGCTGGTTGAGCCGAAGGCTGACTGCGTTGGGTTAGCAGAGCTTCACCTTTCAAAATCTGAAGCTCACTCATCATTTTGTCCAGGCGCTCCAGGACCGGCGTTTCCTCCTCATCCTCAGTCATCCAAACTGGTGGAGGTGGCAGTGGCCACTCCTCATCCTCATTATTGTCAGGTGAGTCAGGCGGCTGGACGTATGCTGCGCCTTTAAGCTGTTCCTGCTGAGCCTCATGAGCAGCATTCATTATCTGAACCACATCAGTCTGTATAGCTCTTAAATGTGCCAAGTCTGCTGAAATGCGCTGCTGTGACTGCTGAAGGAGGAACCTTTCATGCTGGAGCTCTTCTAACTCTGATCTTAGAGCCATGGCTTCAGTTGAGGTGGGAGGTAAGAGACTGTGAGGGTAGGCTGTCTCCATAACCTTGCTGGTCTTCCTTCTGACACTAGCGATTGAGCTAACTGCTCCTCTTTGATCCACAGCTGACTGTCTCCTGGATCATGTGTGGTAGGTTCGCTGAGAACCCATGCCTCCATGGCTGTTGGGGAAGCATATGACGAGGTGAGTGGAGTATTCTCGGCCAGTCCCTCCTGTGTAGCCATCCTTCCTCTCTCCAATCTGTGTTGGTAAGAGTTGAGACCGTTGAAATCGAGCTGATAATCTTCATAACGTTGGGGGGGACGGATCTGACGTTTAGGACGTGCTCCACTTCTGAGCTCCTGATTTCCATCCATTTTACTAGGGTAAGGCAGTGAATCCGGCTCGAAGGACCATTAATGTAGCTGAGGCTGCTCTTAATTTGTAGGACGGTTTGAAGGCACTGTTCAGGTTTGTCACTGCTCTCAACCTGGAGTGTCGGTCAGAACACTACTTAGACTGGATTCAGTTCAGGACCAGATGTGGGGCAGCAGGTGGAAGAAGGAAGACATGAGGCAGGATCCCTTTTACTTTCTGTATTCCAAGTTGGGTCACAGATCTTAGTCCAACAACAGTAATTGGCATCAAGGTATATTTGGTGGGTGTGGGTGAGTGCTTCAGATATGTGTGTAGCTGTGTGTGTGGTCTCCTAGAATAAACAGAAATACAGAAATAAGTTTCAGGTGTTCTATCATTACACATTACACCTTAGATAAATTAAGAAGGAAATAAATAAAGCCTAAACAAGCTTACCATCAGAATCACTATTCATAAGTGAACTAAAACAAATGAATTAATATCAATGCCTGTGCGCCTGTCAAGTACATCGCTCAGTGCTCTACAACACACATATAGCCGATAGCTCGGACCTAACGGTAAATAACGGTTAACAAATAAACTCCGAATCATTCATTTAACTTCAGCAAACAATCAAATATAATAACTTACTTGTCACTAACGCACACTTATAAGGCGATCACACATATTCTGCCCCTCTCACGTATTAGCAGTGGCTCTGTTACCCCACCTCCCCCTCTGATATCAGGAATGGTTCTCTTTCTTACGGCGATGTGATGACGTCATCGCCGCCCCCAACTACGGTATGCTCTAAGTGGCAAAAGTAACGCTGAACAGAAGTCACTACGAACAGTAGTAGTTAACAAACTTAGATTATTTAAGGGGTCTTTTGAACAGGAAGAATAAGTTATAATAATAATAAAGAGACATTCTATTGGGTGAAGATTAATAGGTGCCTGCCATGCAATGCATGGCAGGCATTGCTTATGCATTGCTATGGGCAGGCCCCAACTAGAAAATTCCTGAAGAAATTTAACCGGGGCCTGCCAAAGTGTGCCCGTCGATTTTGACCCAGCGTTCTGATGCAGCTAAAGAAAGCTGCAATGTCATCAATAGCACGTGGAGATTCACAAGCATGACTTACTGCATTCAGGAAACTAAATATGGGTAATAAGTAAGGGAAATAGCTAATGCAAGGTAAAAGGCTAATGCTAATGCTCTGCCTTTCGCAGCAAGTGGAAAAGGGTTGTGCTCGAGTGATTGCTGAGGGAAAAACTCGGGCATGGGAGGAGTATGGACTAGCCATGGAGAAAGACTTCCAAGACGAGGTCTCGCAAGTCCATCAGTTATGCTTGACTGATGGAATAATAGTATTTGAGAAGGATTTAGGCAGAGCCTGGATGCAGAGATACAATTGAAAGAGCTTTCGGAGGAAAGCCATATACTGAAAATACAAGGGGAAGGTCCTGCAGCTGATGAATGCCGGCTGGCGAAGCAGCATGCAGGATATTATAGGGTTGTGCTCGAGTGATTGCTGAGGGAAAAACTCGGGCATGGGAGGAGTATGGACTAGCCATGGAGAAAGACTTCCACATGGCTTCAAGGTAATTCTGGTCCACCATCCGGCATCTCGGATGGGGATGCAGTGCAGCACAAACACTGTCTTATAGTGGGGATAGTGTGCTGCCGACTTCAACTCGGGATGTTGTGGGACAGTGGCCAGAGTACTTCAAAGACCTCCTCAATCCCACCAGCAAATTTAGATACATTTGCTACATTTTATGGACCAAACCTCAAGGTGGTTTCCTCTCTCTTCTTGGCAGCCTCCAAGGATAATTTTGTGTGGAAAACCTTGCAAAAACAGACTAAAACTGGGAGAAAAAATGGTTAATTCCACAAAACCAAACAAATTCTCACCAGGTGGAGAGAGTCCAACAGGACAAAAGTGAGTTCAACATTTGTCCTGCTTGTGAAGTGAAAATAAGATAACCACTAGGGGGCTGCAGCAGTAAAAAGTGCAGCGTGACTGAGGAGAGATTAAACAAGGAGAGCTTTAATTGAATGACGCAAACGGTGAAGAATAAAAAAGTTGTTGCGCAAAAAATTTAGGCTTATTTTAAGGGTAAAGGCTACTCTATCTGGATTAGAAAAATAAGGAAAACTAGCCCTATTTAAAATCATTTTTATTTCAAATTTAACAGAATATACGTTCATCACCTTTGACATTAGTTTAAATATTAAAGGTTATTTGTTACATACGCCACAGGCTCATTCTCTGCTCCTTATTCTTGCCGTCTCTACATAATAATACACCCGCAGAATTAAACAAGTGCTCCAGGTGAGGCTCGAACTCACAACCTCGGCATTGCTCAAGGTGTACTGTCTTATAAGTACCGCGCACTAACCGATTGCGCCACTGGAGCTCGCGAGATACTGAAGGAACATCTGTCGAGCAGAACTGTTCAA